TTGAATAATATATCTAACAAAAGTATGTGTAAATGTCAAAATTTTATTATAATACATGATTACTAGACAGTTCCCCAAAAGACCAAAAACAGAGCATATCTATTTTTGGTAGAGAATATCTGAGCATGTTTCATAGTATGTAATTTATTTCTAAATAGCAAAGCATTGATTGGTACATTTTAGGTATGCATAATGATAACACTCATCATAGGGAATTTGTACCTGTACATGATACATCACACTCCTTCATTCAATAAACTTCTGTCTAATTATTGAGATGTGAGGTTATGTCAGAGTTATTGTTATGTACATCAAGTATTTACTGTAATAATTTCTGTCTTATTTCTGGAATTACCTTCCTAAATTGAGTGTTGTTAAAGCCCATGTGATAGTTTGCCCATATACTATTTTATGGATGATAAAATAGTTTCAAAAAGCTTACATAACTTTTTTAACATTTCATATATACACGAGATTTCAACTCAGTAGTCATATTTGCTGCCTAGACCTGGGTTTTAATTATCATCCCACCCTTTTTTATTTGCTGCATTGCACAATTGTATGAACTTTCAGAGTTTACTGTAAAGAATTTTTGTGCAAGGTGATGAGTTCTAAAGAGCTCATTTATCATTTATTCACTTTTAGTTTATTATATGGGGCTGACACACTCTCTAGTGATCATTCCTATTTGAGGAAGAGTCCTCCAAATTGAGCCCCATAAGTCAACAGTCACTGCTGATTGAGTTTATTCAGTGCCGGCACTGGTCCTTTTGTCTTTACACTAAACATCACCTCCATCTTTATTACATTTGACAATGAGTCTTGAAAATACGTTTTTGGGTTTAAGGCAAGCACTATAAGAAATGCTGTCACCTTCTATAAGCACTGTGCTCAAACAAGAAAAATATCCTGATGTAACTGACTGTTACATTATAAAGTGCACAAAGATACCTATTGACATAAGACAAATAAAACATGTTGAGTACTAATTTATTACAGAAAAAGATGACAGACCCTTGCTTATGTGCTGTCATTTTTTCTTTATGTGTAATAATTGGTCAATATTTCTCATGAAGTATTGTCTTAAAATTTTAGCACCCCATTTTTAAAAATTTAAATAATTTCAATGTAAACTTATTTTGAAAATACAAACAGTATTTAATAAAAGTCTTTCAAGCATGAAATATATTTCCTTAGGATAAAATCTAAGAACACACCAAATAGAAGGGTGATTTTTAGAAGAACACAAACTATGTATAAGTACTGAATGTTAGAGAAAAAAGAAGTGTGACTCTGCATTTTCTGTAAATGTATGTTTGCAGCCACCACAGTGGCCCATGTGTGATCCCAGCACTTGGGAGCCCATACGATTGCTGCAAGTTCAAGGCCAGTGTGGGCTACAGAGTGGGTCAAGGCCAGGCTGGAAAACTATGAGACTCCATCTAAAAAAAAGGCATTAAAAGTAAATTAAAAAATAAAATCACGTTTGTACATGACCTGCAGCCAGGGTGTTATTAGGATACATTTAAAAATTGATGCAACATTTTTCAAAAAACATGAACAATTACAATATGCTGGAACAAATATTAATACTAATTCAAATATTCCAAATGTTAAGAAAATTTAGATTTTTATAGCTTCTTTATAGTCATTATT